CCTTTGATCTCCGTCTGCTCCGGAGGCCAGCCCTGCACCTGAGCATCCCTCTGCGTCCCCGGGGCTTCGGGGATCAGGCTGCGACTTTCCGCAGCCGCCCCCCTCTCAAGGCTGCACCCACAGAGGCGCGTGTACAGACACACACTCTGGCGCACACACCATGTCCCCACGCGAAGGCCAGCCGCCCAGAGCCTCTGAGGTCACCCCAGAGCTGGTTCAGAAAAGGGCGCAGCCCCCGGCCCGCCAGGAGCCAGGCCGCTGCCCAGGCCGGCAGTGACATCATAGGCTCCTGCCGGCCACGCGCGCCCACATCTCAGGATGCTGCCACAAACACGGATGTGAAATCAAGAAGGAAAGAGAGTAATCTAATTAATAGGCCATGAGCCAGGCTAACAAAATCAAAGAATCTGATTACACAAGTACCCTTCTTGCTGTCTCCCCTGCCCCCGCCCCAAGCATCTCTGCAAGCCTCCGCAGGACTTCCTCTCCTAGCCTGGAAAGTTCAGGAGGCAAACCCAGAAGACTCTGGCTTCCTTATTGAAATCAAGATCAAGCCCAGGCGGGCTCCACAGCCAGGAGGTGGGGGGGGGGGGGGAGGATTGGAGGGGGGGAGGTCAGGCAAGGAACTGAGATGGCCAAGAGGCTAGGAGCTCGGAGAGCTGGCCCACACTCCTCCCCCATCACTCCTCCAACAACACCGCACTGATTCCTCTCCTGCTGTCAGTACTGAGCAAGGAGAGCTTTCCACTCAGCGTTTTAAGAAGACACTGAACAAAAACACAGCACAACTCCTTTCACTACGGTACCTGGCTTCTGGGTCACCACTAACCTCCAAGTCTCAACTTTCTTCCAACGCCTTCTCCTGCATAGAGGTCTGTGCACAGCCAGGTACTACATAGTTTTAATCTGTCCAGGCAGCCACTGCATTTCATGAAAGAATTCTTTAATGTCTACCCTTCTGCCTTGAAAAAAACCAGGTCCACCTCCTAAATAATTAATTTCAAGTCTGTATCCAGTGCCAATACTTGTTGCATCCATTTGAGAGTTTGATTAATTGCCCTGGAACTTGGGCAAACTAAACTCCATGTGGAGAGAATGCTTCTGCCTTCGGTTTAGTTCTGAAAGCTACACATTATTGATGGATCTTACTCTATTTACATACAAATTGGTGCAAATATGCCCATCTCTTAAAATGCGTTTTCTATAAATATATAAAAGTGTCATTTTTGATTTAGCTTGAGAGGTTGATCATTTATTACAAAAATAAACGAATAAATACAACAATATATTGTTGCTTCCAACAAGATAAATACTTTTACAAATATATAATTTTAAAACAAATTTAATTGTTAAAATTATTTAAAATATTACACTTATCGATAAAACTATCAATCGTATATACTGCATTTAATATTAGAACCAATTTTTCTCTGAATTTTGAACCCATTCATACAAAACATTATGAGCAAACCCTGGAGGCTCCAGGGAAGCCGAGGGACTCTCTAAGATCAAGAATGAACAGTTTTCTTTTGGAACAAAGAGGCAGTCCTTGGCTAAGGACTTAAAAAAAGGGGGGGGGGAGGGGCAGAGAAACAACAGCCAAATGACTATTTTACATACACCTTGAATGATTTATCACCCAGATTCCAGGGGAAGATGGCTGGGTGAATGAGGTGGCTGAGGCTGGGACCACAGGTCAGGAGCCACAGGAATCTGCAGACTACAAATGGGCCTGGTTTGGGATTAGCCAGATTGATGGAACAGAACTTTGTCACTCTCCTTTGGGCTGGCAGGGAGGAGGGCCGGGTTGAAATGGAGGAAACAAATGGATACTTTACAAAGCACAAGACACTTGCTCTGCAAAGAAACACAATGACCAAATTCATTAAAAAGATCTGGTGATGTATAACAATATTTTCATTATTTGCGTGTATAACAATATAAGTCTAACACCAACCTCTCAGTTATATCTGCTCTCTTTTGTTTTTCAACCATGAATTTCATTTTGTAGATACATTCAAAGGGTTGATTTTCAAAATATAAAGTGGCAGCATTAGCTCACTTTAAAAATGCAAAATAATGAAATAAAATGGTCTTGCTTTTCCAGCTTCTCCAATTAAAAGTTACTCTGTTACCCCTAAATCAGGACTTCTTCCAAAGTAATCAGCAAAGGTTGCTTTTTAATAGAAAACAGTGTGAAACTGAATGGTAGTTCTTTTGTTAGCCAAATCGAGTAAGCAAACGGCTCCTAAAATTTTATACAGACCCACTGTCTAATCAACCACCACCACTCCTGCTGGGGCACAGGACTTCAGCTCACGTGCCAGTGGCATCCATCATTAAAACCACCACACCCAATCCTCAGCTTCCCAACAAGGCCTTCTTTGCCTGCCCCTGCAGACCCTCAGACACGGACGAAGTTGATATCCACTCCAGGTTTTAAATTTGCTGGGCAGGGCGGTTACAATGGCAAGAGAAATAAGGAAACAAGAAAGCCAAGAAAAGTAAATCGTGGTTTCTTATTTTCATTTTTTCTTCTTTCTGTTTAATAAATATGGCCTTTTTCAGATTTCACAAATCAAAATGATTGTGATTTTTAGTACTATCTGGTGTTTAAAATAATGCAACCCCACACAGGCCATCTGGCCAGGCTTGATTTATGAAAGTGACACAGGGTCTGTCTGGAAGAAATAACTGCTCCTTGTTGCTCGCACAGCTTTCCGGGTTTTTAACCCCTGCACTGATATCTTAGGGGGAGGAAGTAAGGATGAGAGAAGGCAAAAAGTGAGTGACAGCTAAATGAGATTAGGGGGAAATTATCCTATAAAATCACTGCTTTATCACCCCCAATACTTTTTAAAAGTCCAGTGAAAGGACTCAACTAAGCAGTCGTTAGTACTCACAACCTGAGGCATCACACTTTCACTTTCCCACACGGTAAATATTGATACATTGATGTGATAAATGTGACCGCTCTGCAGGCTGGGTGTGTCTAAGGAGTGATCCAAAAGCTAAAACCCCCGTCAGTGAAGGAGGTACAGAATCACACTGGAGAAACACCAAAACACAGGCATGCAGGCTTCTGGGTCTGAGCTGGCAATCACACCAGCGTGGAGCAATGCAGGATTTTAGAGCTCCCTTCTTTCATTCCAGAAACAAACCAACAAAACAAACCCTAAAATGGCTTAATAATTTAAACCCAATTACATAATCATCAATGGAATAGTTGTAAGATAGTCTTCACAACTATTAGTCCTCAGAAAAAGAAGAAAGAAACATAGCAATATGGTGGGGGAAGAGAGGAAAAGGAGAAGCTAAACTTTGGGAAAGGGCTCTGTATTAACCATTAATAACCAGCTGGCACATTTTTACTGGTGATGCAATTCAATCTTTTGATAAAGATGATGAAAAACACAGGTATCTCCAAGAAAAGTAGTAAATACTCCCCTAAAAAATCCACTAAAATTAAGCAAAGAAAAAGGTGGTGGAACTGACAGCTTACCAAAGAGTGCCAAGTAGGTGGAGCGCTAGCATTTCTGTCAGGACTGTCTTCACTCCAGATTTCCAAACACACCTCAGTGCAGCAGCGCCTGGGCTGCCTCAGCGCCATCGCTGAAGGGTATGCCTTAGCAAAAAAATACTCCCTAGCTATTTTCTTCCCACACAGTGTTTACGCATCAGACACAGACTATTTCATTCTAACAAATTTATTTTCTCGATCAGCTCTTACGGAATCACTACTCAAATTAAATTACAATCAAATGATCACATCAAAAGATACCCTTATTACCTAACAACTGTCCATATTTTCATTTCATTTTGATTTGTGCTCGTCTGAAAAAAACACGTAATACAAGATCTGGGGAAAAAATAAATTACCATTTTGCAGCAGTTCATAAGTATTCTGAATAAAATATTAAAAGAAGTCATTTAATGAAAATATAAAGCAAATATTTTTAGATCAACAACGGATCTAACAATCTATATTGCCGTCTTTTGAAAAGTCTGTTTATTAAAACCTACCAAAAACACTGCTTGGAAATGGCAGTATTATAATCACAGCCACGGCACCCACTCCATCAAAGTTGGCAACGGACTGAGAAGCGAAGTCCAAGACCTGCGGCAGCTGGTGCTCAGTCTTTCTAAATCCCTTTATGAATCGGTCCAGAAATAAAAAATAAAAAATATTAATAGAAAGTATTAGCGGTGGAATCTTGAGGCATCCTCCATCCCGGTGCCCAGTCTGCGCCTGGCCGCGGGCTCTGCCCGCCTCGCCCCCTCCGCGCGAGGCGGACGTCCCCTGCGCCCGGCCTATCCCTCTCTCTTCCGCGATGGTTTTATTTCCAACGTTATTTGAAGGAAACGCATCCTTTTGGCTTTGCTCTTCAGCTTGTTAATTTCAGAAGCTGTGCATATTATTTTTGCTGGAGACCGTTCTTTTTTCCTCCTTCCCGTTTCAGAGTCAGTGTATTTGTCCCCAAATGCCCGGACATGGCCATGGCCAAGAAGAGCGGCTCCCAGCAGTCAGCCCTGATTAAGCGTTGCCTCTGGTTCTTTCAGGGGTTCCCAGGAAGCCAAGTTCCGCTCGGTGGGTCGGTCACTTAGGCAGCCCTTTGGTGGAGGGGAAGGAGGGCTCCCTCCCAGCCCCCAGAGGAGAGGAAGAGGCAGGTGCTGGGCGCCGTCCACCGTCGCCCTGGGGGGCATCTCAGGGCGGGCAAACCCTCAGGAGTGCAGTTTTGGTGCGCTGGGCATCTTCACCCTTTTTAAAAAACAAAAACAAGAACAAAAAACGAAACATCACCACAGTATGAACGAGATCCCAGGGTCGCCCCCTTCTCCTCTTCCGGTGCTGTTTGTGTGTACCGTTTGGTGCTATGATGCCGTGTGTTTTGTCCTCTTCTCTAGGCCGCAGAAACCGTCTCTCCGGCCAGTCGTTCCTTTCTTTCCTGGGGCGAGCAGGCTGTCTTTGGGCGGCGGGCGCGGCGGCGGCGGCTCCGGCCTCACTGCACGCTGGCCGGCAGCCCGTGGTGCGGCGGCGGCGTGTCGGCGCTCACCGGGCCCACCTGCGAGTACACGTCGTCCGGCGTCTGCTGCTGGATGCCGGGCGGCGTCATGCGCTTCTCCTTCTGGCGCCGGTTGCAGAACCACACGCGCACCACCTCCTTCTCCAGCTGCAGGCTGTCGGCCAGGTTGGTGATCTCCTGCGCGGACGGCTTGGGGCACTTGAGGAAGTGGCTCTCGAGCGCGCCCTTGACGCTCACCTCGATGGAGGTCCGCTTCTTGCGCTTGCGGCCCTGCGCCGCGATCTTGTCGATGCTGGTGGGGCTGCCTGTGCTCGAGTCCGCCTCCTCCAGCCACTTGTTCAGCAGCGGCTTGAGCTTGCACATGTTCTTGAAGCTCAGCTGCAGGGCCTCGAAGCGGCAGATGGTGGTCTGCGAGAACACGTTGCCGTACAGCGTGCCCAGCGCCAGCCCCACGTCCGCCTGCGTGAAGCCCAGCTTGATGCGCCGCTGCTTGAACTGCTTGGCGAACTGCTCCAGGTCGTCGGACGTCGGCGTGTCCTCGTCCGAGTGCGGGTCGTGGCTGTTGAGGCCCGGGCCCGCGCCGCCGGCGTGGTGCGGGGGCCCCTGGGCGTGGTGCGGGTGCGGCGGGTGCGCGTGGTGGTGGTGGTGGTGGTGGTGCTCCGCCAGCTCCGGGGTGTCCCCGCGCACCAGCCCCGGGTGCACCAGGCCCTGCGCGCCGCCGCCCGCGCCGCCGCCGCCGCCGCCGCCGGGCCCGGGCGCGCTCAGCATGCCGTTCACCGTGAAGCCGCCGGGCTGCGAGTACAGCAGGCCCTGCGGCGGCGGCTGCTGGCCCCCGGCCATGGCCGGGAGGTGCGCGGCCGCGGCGGCGGCGGCGGCGGCGGCGGCGGCGGCGGCGGCGGCCCCCCAGCCCCCGGGGTGGCCCTGGTGCGGCGGCGGCGGCGGCCCGAGGTGCGGGGGCCCGCGGTGGTGCAGCGCGGTGCCCGCGTGCAGGTCCTCGCGCCCGGCGCCCGCCTTCACGTCGGGGCCCTGCGGCGGCGGCGGCGGCTGGGGGCTGCCGGCCATGCCCACGGCGCTGCCGGACCAGGGCGAGCTCGCCTCCACGGCGGCGGCGGCGGCGGCGGCGGCGGCGGCGGCAGCGTGGGGCAGGGCCGTGACCCACTGGTGCGCGTGGCTGAGCATGTGGCCGCCGTTGCTGGCGGCCATGGCCCCCTGCATGAAGTCGCTCTGCACCATCTTGACGGAGGACGGGTCCCCCCGGTAGGCGCCCGAGGTCACCGCGGCGCTGCCGGGCTGCATGCCGCCCCCGCCGCCCCCCGCGCCGCCGCCGCCCCCGCCGCCGCCCCCGCCGCCGCCGGCGCCCGCCGCGTCCGAGTGCACAATGGAGCCGGCCGCCAGCAGGCCGCTCCCCGGCAGGTAGGGGTTAGAAGCCGCCGTGGCCATGCCGCTCCGCTCCCGCCACCCCACCGCCGCCACCCCCGCCGCCGCCGCAGCAGCCGCGGCCGCCGCCGCCGCCGCCGCGCCCCCGCCGCCCCCCCGCCCCGCCCCGCCCCCGCCCCGGGCCCCAGCGGCCCCAGGCGGCCCGCCGCCCGCCGCCGCCTCCGCCCGCGCCGCCGCCGAGGCCCGGGCCGGAGCCGAGGCCGCTGGGCAGGGCGCGGGGCGCGGCCGGCCTCCGGCGGCAGCGGCGGCGGCGGCGCTCCGGAGCGGGGCTGCTTCGCGGGGCGCGCTCCTCAGCCGCCCCCTGGCTGCCCGGGGGCTCTCGGCCGCCCCCCGGCCCCGGCGCGGTCGGCCGGCTCCAGCGGGGCTCGCCGGGCGGCGCGGGCCTGCGCTCGGCTCTCAGGCGGGTCCCGGCTCCGCTCCTGCTCGGGTCCCGGAGCGCGGGCTCTGCGGCCGGGGCCGCTCCACCTGCTCGGGCGATCACAGGAGACAACAAAGGAAGAAGCCGAGCCTTTCTTCTGGAACCAGACTACCGATGGCCAGCAGCCGGCCGGCTCCTTCCCGTGGCCGCTCCGCTCCGCTCAGGAACACATCTCGCCCCTGGTCTCGGAGGAGAAAACTTTCTGAGTCCCGAAGGCGTGGCGGTGCTGGCTGCCGGCGTGCGGAGAGGCTGGCTCCCGCTCTCCCGTCCGGTCCTCTCGGTTCAAGTTTGTTTCTGTCCTGGGAAAACTTCTAGCGTCGCCGCATCTCTCTGCAGTTGCTATTGCCGGGGCTCTTGGCTGCCTCTGAAACAAGAGTCCTTCTTCATCCTCCTCGCAACAGTCACAGATTGATGCGACATCTTTCCTTTTGGGCAGAAACGAGGAAACAAATATAACAAGGAAAAAAAATTCAACAGGAGAAAAAGTGAGGTCGAATGACTGTTACCTTGTTGCTGAAGGTTGGGGCTGGTGTTTTATTTTCCCCCCAGCAGTTGTCTGGAGGAGGAGGAGAAGGAGGAGGAGGAGGAGGAGGAAGAGTGCATTGGTGGAGGTGGAGGGGTGTGTGTGCATATAGGGGATCCTTGGTACACAACCGACTCCAGGGGCACGCAGTGCGGCTCGCAGAGGGCGCGGGCCCTGCGGAGCGGAGTTGCGGCGGGAGCTCCCTCCGCGCCTTCTTCCTCCCTCACGGCCCCTCTTCCTCCCGCTCTCCCTCTCCGCCCGCCGCCGGCGCCGCGATCTGACAGCTCGCGCTCCGTCCCTCCCTCTCGGAGCGGGGACTGTCGAATGTTTACCCTCCGCGGCGGGCGCGCACCCACCACCACACTTTCCCAAACACAAGGAAGTCGAGCGCCAGGGCCCCCGCTGATTGGCTACCTGCTGGGTGATTGGCAGGCCCGGAATGACTGGCTCAGGACGCGAGGCCCCCCTTCCGGCCGTTCCGATTGGCTGCTTTTTAATTTAGGCAGAGCATCGCCGACGCCGGAGAGCCGCGGTCCCCCCGGCGCCCGCCCCCTCGCCACTCTCTCCGCCCCGCCCCGCGCCCGCCACCCCTTCCGCCGCATCTTAACTCTTCGTGTCCGGCCGAGCTGCAGGCGTGCCCTCCGCGGCCGGGGCGCTCGCTGGCGGCCTGGCAGGAGGGGAGGAGAGGGAGAGAAGAGGGACAGAGGGGGGCAGTCAGAGGGGAACAAAGAGAGGGAAATGCACGAAATACAGCCACCAACCCGCTCCACCCAGGGCGGCGTCGCGCTGCAGCCTCCCGCCCTTCCCATCCCGGAGGCCGGGGGAGCGCCCTGCGGCGAGGATGCACCTTCCGAGCTAACACCTATGGACAGAGGTGTCCCCAGTGGTTCCAAAGTTTCCTTTCCCAGCCTCCAGCCGTCCCCCGCCTCTGTCCAGCGGGGTGGGAAAGGGGAGATCGCAGCGCCCAGGGCTCGGGTCGTGGCCCGGCTTCTCGGAAATCCGCCACCGCAACTCTCCGCAGCCGCCGCGCCGGCCCCTTTGTTTAGGTTCCCGGGGCCGCCGTCCGGGAGCCTCCCGCCGGGACCGGCGCGGGACGGGCCGCTCGCCGCCCAGGTGGCCTCGCCCCCCACCCCGCTCCCCTCCCGCCGCCTCCCCCTTCCTCCTCCGGGCCAGGCAGGTAGCCTGGAGCCCCTGTGGTTTTGGAGGGTGCGGGCCAGCAGCCGGCGCGGTGTTTGAAAAGCAGCCAGGCCGGCCTTCCCCCATAGACACCCCGTAAGTGTTTCCATCCCGGCGGCTCGGGGAGTTCCCGCTGAGCGGGGCCGGCCCGGCCCGGTCCCCGCGCCGCCGCCGCCGCTTACCTGTGCGGTGTGAGCTCACTGTGTGTGTGTGACTCGGTGTGGCTGTCAGTGGCGGGGTTGCCTGCTGGCTATGCTTAGGCACGGAGGTGCTTTTCTTTATGTCTGTCTCCAAAGGGTTTGTGCAGTGGATGGGCCGGGCGGAAAGGGTTAAGGGGGCGGGCGGGGGAGTGCGGGGGAGGCGGGAGGGAGCCGGGGGTGGGGAGCGCGACCGAGCGGAAACGCTGCACCGAGGAGCCTAGGCGAACCGAGCAAAAAGAGAAAGTGGCAACGAAAACAAGGGCAAATTGAACCGTCCTCGGGGATTTCCAATGAACTGACCCAGCTCGGACATTCAATAAATACATCGTTCCCAATGAGTGTGCGCGCGCCCCCCGAACCCCCTCTCCGCGGGCCCCCGCGCCGGCCTCCCCGCTCCTCCGGCGGCCGCCCGGACCTGGGGACCGGGATGCTCCCGTTAAACCGTGCGGGGCTGCCCTTCCCCGGGAACAGACCTCTGCGGGGCTTAGTCAGGGAACTCAGCTCAGCCAGAGCCCCGCCGCGGCCACGCAGCCTCTGCGTGAGGTCCCGATGAACTGTGGCCGCCTCAGCAGGATTTATGCGGGATCTGGTCCAGCTCCTGCCCGCCGGGGAGAGAGGCCGCCGTAGGTAGATTTCAGCAAAGCCATTCTTGCTAAGGTGTAGGTGTGAGAAGCAGCAGCACCCTGCCCCCAAACAGCACGGATTTCCCCCTCCGCGTCCCCGAAGGTTCCTTTTTATATTTATGTATGCGCGTATGTACATGTAAAAATGGAACACAGATCTCATTGAAGAAATCCGAGGTCTCCAGGTGCAGACGTCTGAAGAGTCGGTGCCAGCACGCCGTGTTTTCCTTTCCTGCCGATTTTGCTTGGATCGGGCTCAAAAACCCGGAGTCTCGTGGTTTTGTTTACACTGAATGGGGAGGATAGGAACGGAGCCACGGGCCGTCTTTCATTAATATACAGTGAGGATTTTGTCTAAATTACCGCTATGGATTTCACAGTGCACGCTTTCAGAATGGTCTCAGGTGGCCCGATGAAACGCGATAGCGCCTCTCGGAACAGACCCGCGCCTTTCTTCCCCGCGAGGGGCGGGTGCTGCGGGAGCCCCCAAACCAGCGCTCCCCGTAATGGGAACACACTTCTATTCTGAGGCTGGTCCCCTCCGTCCCCCCTTTCTCCTGCTCAGCTCCCAGCCGCTCCGAGCCCCCCAGCCCCGCTGCACTGGCCCCCTCCCTCTGCGAGTGTGATTGTTTTGTCTGGAAAAAAAATCCAAAGTATATAACAAGGGGAGAACAGTTAGTGCTGATTTTCATTTGCATACATTTTCATATATTTTGGTGAAAATAATAGACTAGAGGAGAGCTGGGCTCCGAGGAGTCAGTGTGAAGGGAAGGCTAAGGATGCATCGTTCTGGGGAGTTGAGACTATGCCTTCACCACCTCCAGCCACTCGATTGAAAAAAAAATCTTTTATTTTAAAATCTAACCCCGGAAGTTTGTTCGGTAAGTGATTTTCATCTCCTCTCCTTGCTCTCTCCTTCTCTCCTCTTCTTTCTCTGTGTTAATGCTCCTGCAGGTTTGGGGGTTTATTCTCATTGCTGGGGACCAGAGAGGAATCAGAGTGACCTTTGGAAGCGGGAAGGCCAAGTGTGGCGGGGTGGGGGTGGGTAACCGCCACCCCCTGCTAAAATAGTATATAAAAAGACCGCTCCTTCCAAAGCTCTGGCTGCAGGGCGCCTTGGGGGTGGGGGAGGGTGCTATCAATTTTAATTGCTGATTGCCAGGAGGCGAAGGTCCCCAGAAAAGAATCATTTATAAAGTTCCCGGTATTATCAACGTTTCTTGTTTGGAGAGTTTTTTAAAAAAAAAAACCACAAAACACAAAACAAAACAGAGGGGCAGAGGGAAAGAAGTGCCCTTTCTGGAGCCAGTGCAGACGGCGAACTGAGACTGCCCGCCTGGGGCTGGGTGAGGGGATTCCTGCTGGGAACAGGGGCGGAGGGGAGGGGGCGCCGCACAGGGAGGGCAAAGGGCTGAGATGAAGGAAGCGGGAGGAAGAAGAGGCAGGAAGCCCTGCACCGGGTTAGAACCGCAGGGAGCTGGCGGCCATGCAGCTCCCAGCTTCTGGTGGAGGGTCCGTCAGAAGAGGGTGATCAATCAAAACTAACCAGGGCACCCTACCCTTTCCTGCCAAAGGCTGGAGCTGGCGCTTGGAAAACTGGATTTTACTCTGTGCCTCATATCTGACAGTGGGCCTTGCCCCCCTCCTGGCCACTGCCCCTGGGTTTTTGTAAAAATTAAGGTTGCAGTTACTAGCTAGATGCAGTTAATTAGATAAATATGGCTGGAGGAAATAGCCAAACAATTCCAAGCCGGTGGGGGCACCTTACCTTTGTGAAATAGGCTGGAGTGAGTTCTCAAAGCTGCTCGGTTTTGTTCTTTTGAAAGGAAGCCTTGCCCGGGTGACAAGGGGGTAGAGTCAAATGGCTAGAGTTTTATTGCACTTTTGTATCCAGAACACCTTGCCATTTAGACTTTGTA